AAAAACGAATTTCGCCCCCCCCCCCCCAAAAAAAATGTTGTAAAATGGTTGGGGGAATCTGGAGGGATTGGCTCAGGATCGTGATGCTTGGAGGACTCTTGTAGGCGGCCTATGTCCCAGAAAGGATCACAGACTTTGATGAAGATCGGCTGCTGTTCTTCGAGGACGAAGAGGCGAAATAAGAATTTAGAAACCTACTTATTATGTCAGACACAAACTAAAATGTCATTATTTGCTTTTGATTAAATTCAAGCCACTCATGCAGTTGCTCTGTTTAACATTATATTTATATACCGTAGCTCATATAAGTGCAAAACAAGTTTAGGGTGCCGGGCCCCAAACAGAATATTGTAAAACGTTTGGATTAAATATAAGTAAGCAACCTTTGCAGGGCTTGTTACACAACAAATTACCAAAGTTTTATTGCAATTGGATGAATGTTATAGGAATGCATATGGAAATTATATTCATATAGATAATATTTTTAAAAAACGAATTTATTGCCCCGCCCAAAACGGAATATTGTAAAATGGTTGTACAAATTTAGAAACCTACTTATTATGTCACACACAAACAAAAATGTCACTATTTGCTTTTGATTAAATTAAAACCACTCATGCAATAGCTCTGTTTAACATTATATTTATATACCGTAGCTCATATAAGGAAAAAACAAATTTAGGGCCTCTGGCCCAAACAGAATATTGTATAACGTTTGGATTAAATATAAATAAGCAACCTTTGCAGGGCTTGTCACACAACAAATTACCAAAGTTTTATTGCAATTGGATGAATGTTATAGTTATAGGAATGCATATGGAAATTATGTTCATACAGATAATATTTTAAAAAATGAATTTAGGGCCCCGGCCCAAAACGGAATATTGTAAAATGGTTGTACAAATTTAGAAACCTACTTATTTTGTCACACACAAACAAAAATGTCCCTATTTGCTTTTGATTAAATTAAAACCACTCATGCAATAGCTCTGTTTAAAATTATATTTATATATCGTAGCTTATATAAGGAAAAAAACAAATTTAGGGCCCCCGGCCCCAAACAGAATATAGTAAAAAGGTTGGATTAAATAAGCAACCTTTGCAGGGCTTGTTACACAACAAATTACCAAAGTTTTATTGCAATTGGATGAATGTTATAGGAATGCATATGGAAATTATATTCATATAGATAGTATTAAAAAAAAACGAATTTAGGGCCCCGGCCCAAAACGGAATATTGTAAAATGGTTGTACAAATTTAGAAACCCATTTATTATGTCACACACAAACTAAAATGTCACTATTTGCTTTTGATTAAATTCTAGCCACTCAAGCAATAGCTCTGTTTAAAATAATATTAATATAGCTCATATAATAAAAAGAAACACATTTATGGTCCCCCAACCCCAAACGCAATATTGTAAAATGGTTGTACTCAATCATGAACCTTTGCTGATGAGGGGACAACAACTCACCATAGTTTTATCGCAATTGGATGAATGGTATAGGAACGCATACAGAATTTATATAGCTCATATTGGAAAAAAACGAATTTAGGGACCCCGGGCCCAAACAAAATAATTTAGAGACCTTTGCGGACGTGCCCACAACAACTCACCAAAGTTTTATTGCAATTGGATGAATGGTATAGGAACGCTTATGGAAATTATATTTATATACCGTAGCTAAAATATGCTAAAAACTAATGTAAGGCCCCCAACCCAAAACGGAATATTGTAAAATGGTTTTACTAATTTAGAAACCTACTTATTTTTCACAAACCAAATGAAAAATGTCACTATTTGTATTAAAATTTAATCCACCCATGCATTAGCTCTGTTTTTTATTTATGTAGCTCATATAATATAAGGAAAAACGAATTTTGGGCCAAGGACAAAATCAAATATTTTAAAATGTTGAACTAATTGAGAAACCTTTTCAGGCATGTGCACAATTACTCACCAAAAGTTTTATCACAAACGGATGAATGGTATAGGAATTCATGCAGAAACTATCTTTACATTACAAAGATTTTATTTAGAAAAAAAAAGAATTCAGGGCCCCTGGCCCAAAACGGAATATTGTAAAATGGTTGTAATAATTATTCAGAAACTTTTGAGGATATGCGCACAACAACTCACCAAAGTTTTATGGCAATCGGATGAATGGCATAGGAACGCATGTGAAAATTATATTTACATAGCTTATATAAGAAAAAATAAACTAATTCAGGGCCCCTGCCCTGAACTGAATATTGTAAAATGGTTGTAATCATTCAGAAAAATTTGCGGGCATGCGGACAACAACTCACCAAAGTTTTATCCTAATCGGGAGAATGGTATAGGAACTCATAAGGGACAAACATTAATTTGTATATACATAATAATATATTATAATGACCCTTTTCAACGGTATCAACTTCTTATTTTTTTCATGCAGTAATAGTTGACAAGAATAAAGCATTAATGGCAGTAGCTTGATAGATCAATCCTGGAAAATTTGGCCTTGAAAGTATTTTAGAGCTAAATATTTTTCATATTATCCAATTTTTATTTTTTCTCAAATATATTATCCTCATGCAAAATAAAAATGAAAGATAATTCTGAAATCAATAATAAATGTGAAAAATACAGGGACAGAATAAAATCTTTTAAAAATCTTCATTTTCAAAAAACTCTGGGTGTCCTTTCATGAAAAGAAATCGAAAAAATCTGGTACCTCGGTCCAAACTAGTTATTTTATCATAATCTTTAGTTGTAATTGTCCAGTTTAATGCTCCAAAGTTTTCTTTTATCCTTTTTTTACTAGAACTCTTTGGCAAAACAACAAACCCTCTCCTCAGCAAAAAATTCAGTAAAACTTGGGCCGGTGTTTTCTTATAACTTTCAGCTATCTCCAAAATTAGAGGATCCTGCAAAAGACTTTCTTCATTGCTGACGTGAATACTTGGTCTGTTTGGTGCCCCAAGAGGGGCATAGGCAGATACAGCAATATGGTTCAAATCACAAAATTCTTTGAGTTTTTCTTGCTGTAGATAAGCATGGGCTTCTAGTTGAACATTTGCAGGGGTTACATCAGAGGATGATAGAATTCTGTTTATTTGTCCAATTGTAAAGTTTGAGACCCCAATGCTAGATGCTTTTCCTAATTTGAAAACAGTAGACAAAGCAAGCCATGTTTCGAGAAAATTTACATCTTCAAATTCTATTTCACCATCACTATTTTTCCTGTGTGCCCATGGGTGGTGAATTAAAAGCATATCTACATAATTTATTCTCAACTTTGCCAAAGACTGTTGTGCACTATCAAGTGCATCTGCCCTCCTTAGGTTTGAACTATAAACTTTGGTTGTGATAAATAGATCCTTTCTATTTATTCTCCCTGCTTTCACTCTGTCATCTATAACTTGTCCTATTTCTTCTTCATTTTCGTATGCGGTAGCAGTATCTATGTGACGATAACCTAGAAATAAAGCATAATCTAATGCTTCCTTTAACACATCACCTTTCAGCATATATGTTCCAAATCCTAAAAATTAGAATATAAAAAGAAAAATATTAATTAAATGAAGTACCGTACCATAGTGATAATTAGTATTGAATGGTTAAACTCTTCCTAAACAGTAAATAAACAAGTTTTAAAAACTGTGTAAAAATTTGTTATTAATAAAATTAGCTTACCATACTGATGTTAAACTTTTATAACATCAAATAGCTATGTTAATCTAAAATAATAGTTTTTGATTCAAAGATCAACTTGTGATGAAGGCGAATTGGCTAACACAGATTTAATTGTACAGTACCCTATTGCCCTATACTTATGATTTAGCCGTATTTATCTCTTCTTAGTAGTTAGGGATAGACTTTGAATTTGAATAAAATATTATTTTTAAAAAAAAGAGCACTGATTAACAACAGGGAAGGGGGCCACAGAGATAAAACAAATGTTTAAGTTGCCCATGTAAAAAAAAAAGGCTGAGAAATACTGGGCTCAATTATACATTATAAGTGTCCACAAAGTAAAATGTATAGCCTATACTATACTATATCATAATGTCTATTGTCGTAATAATTTAATTTGTTAACTCTGACTCTACATTATGTTATTTATTGTAGCAGTGTAGTTTAAGTACTATAAGTGGAACAATTGGCGTTATTTTCAACACTAATACTCACTAATTGATTAATTGGGTAGGTATCAATGTCATACAACTGTGCTCTTGCTAATCCAGATACCATGCAAGACCTTTGTGAACAGGTCTCCTACAATGCCTACGCCTACATGTTCGTGCTATTCCCTGGGTAGCGCCAGGTGGTAACACCTGTCTTAATCGGCATGCCACAAAGACAACAGACTAGGTCACTAAAGTAGAGTGACTAGGGCCCTTGGACGATACTAAGACTAAACGAAATTTAAATATACTGACTGACTTGATGATGATTGAGGCATTGAGGGAGTACTCTACTGACTGTGGACACTGGTTAAAATAAATAAATAAATAAATACCTAAATTTAGGTTAGGCTTTAAACTTTAAGAAATAACTTATATTTGCTTTTAATTAACTTATTAGATCAAATTCAAAAAAGTTAGTTAAAGTTAAGGGAAGCAAGGCCCACTAGACTAAGTTCAGCCCACAATCAATAATAATAATCAATAATTCATTCAGTTTATTTAAATTAATTAATATTACCTAAAGTAGGCATTCTAAAGCCTGTGTTTAGTCTCAAAAAACGTGATATTGTCATAATTTGATATGAAATCGTGCCTTAAATATTGAATACAAAGAACGCTATAAGTTTTTGTTTACAATTGACTAGTATAGTAATTACTACGCAGTTTTCATGTACTGAACAACAAAAAAAGATTTCGGTTTTTGTATCTTATCTTTTAGCTTCATATTTTGTATTTATTGTGCTTATGAACATTTCAGAATTCACTACCAACAAATTATTGTCCATTGACATCACGTTTTATTTTTCCATCATGCCTACAAAACTGACACACGGCTATCGAATTGGTCTAAAGTTGTATGGCTTGGTGATGGACCCACTGATGGAACACATAAATAACATAACAAACTCTCTTAAAACTAAACGCCCTATCAGTACAGGCCACGGACACTGCTTTATTCGGACACGTCTCTTCCGACCACATCTGTGTCTTAACTATTAATCAACAAAAATATTTTTAAAATCTTAAAATATTACCCGAAGACTAAAGGAGTAGAGTTTCTCTCAAAATGCTCATGACACCTTGTTATTATCTCCCATCATGTCCTCCTCTACTGCTTCTAGTTTAGGAGATCATGGCTTTCTCGAGCGAAACAACACTAATATTACACTGTTTCTATTTTGAACTGTTGCTTTAGCTTTGTGTGTTAATTAGCGGGATGATACGGCTTCACCTTTCCTAACAAAAGCCAAATCATCTCAATGATTTGTCATAGTAATAATTATCTAGTAATGTTGAAGAAAGCTGCCTGTAATGTAAAACTATATTAGTTGATTTTAATTTTGATCTGGTGAAATGCAAAAATAATTTTTACAACACAAAGAATCCCAAATAAAGCTTACAGATACAGTTTATTTTCCTTTACTTTAAAATTGAACTAGTACATTGTAAACATAAGCGCTTTTATTTCATTAGGTCATATAATCTGGTACCGGAATTCACTTAATCTCATTTATTGTCCTTTTTATAATCCTTGCAAGGATAAATGATAATTCATAATTGAGGAAGGGAAAAATAGGGCTCATTGAAAACTTAAAAAGATTCAATAGAAAACAGACACATGGCGATTCACCAGATTGCAGCTCTTTAGCATATAAGAATTTTTGGTTAAAATTGTCTTAGAAGATGTTGAACCATAAAACACGACAAGAGGGGAAAGATGCAGCCAAAAAAAACATGGAAGTAATTTGACAAAGATGTAGCAAATAATTTTAAATAGACCTAAAAAAAAAAAAACCCCGTGGAAACTTCCTCGGCATTATGGAGTACCAGGGAAACTAGTCAGGATCATTCAGAGCTCTTATGAAGAAATGACATGCAGGGTGGTCCACGAAGGTAGACTCACAGATTCATTTACAGTCGAAACGGGAGTCAGACAAGGATGCCTCTTGTCCCCACTTCTATTCATCCTTGCCATTGTCTGGATAATGAAAAAATCCACAGACAAAAAGAGGAATGGGATACAGTGGACACTCTGGGAACAACTGAATGATTTAGACTTTGCAGACGACATTGCACTTCTGTCCCACAACCAGCAACAAATGAAGGAAAAGACAAAGGACGAAACCACCTTTTCAGCACAGCTTGGTCTAAATATAAATAAAAGCAAGACAAAAATCATGAAGGTAAACCCATCGAACCATGAGCATATCTATCTGGCAGGAAAGGCACTGGAAGAAGTGGAGTCCTTCACATACTTAGGCAGCAAAATAGACACAAATGGCGGATCCAATGCAGACATAAGGGCCAGAATTGGAAAAGCTAGATCGGCATTTGTGTTATTAAAGAAAATATTGGAGTCGAAGGAACTGAAACTGCAAACCAAAGTCAGAATCTTTAATACAAATGTCAAAACAGTCCTACTATATGGTGCAGAAACTTGGAAAACAACAGTGAGCCTTATACAGAAAGTGCAGACATTCATAAACACATGTCTTAGAAAGATCCTGAAAATCAAATGGCCAAAAACTATAAAAAACAAAGATCTACTAGAAAGGACATACCAGGTGCCCATTGATGAAGATATCATAAAGAAAAGGTGGAGATGGATAGGGGATACGCTCCGAAAACTCCCAGATAGCACCACCAGACAATGCCTAACATGGAACCCACAGGGAAAAAGAAAGAGAGGAAGGCAAAAGAATACATTTAGACGCGAGCTAGAGGCTGACAGGCAAAATATGGGATACACCTGGAAGCAATTGGAAAGGAAAGCACAGGACTGTGATGAGTGGAAACTACTTGTAGACGGCCTATGCCCCAGACAGGGTAGAAAGGCATAATGAATGAATGAAAAAAAAAAACTATTGGCTAACTCCATGTTGAACCATAAGCCAATCTAGTTAATTAAAAAGCTTTCACTTTTAAAAAGCAATGAAATAAACTATTCTAATATCTTTAAAAAAAATTAACTTTGCTTACTTTTGTTCGTGTGTTTCTGGCAAAATCTTCGGACGCTAAATTACCCACTTCTGTCATTCTATCAAGCTAAAACGTGGCACATAGACTCGTTGCCGATGACAACACTCTTAATTGTGCAGCTATGTGCTTAGTATTTGTGATGTATTTGGTTTAAATATATATCTTTAATCTATTAGGTATTACATGCACTAAGTTTGATAAAGACCATTCACATACCAAATTCAGTAGCTACAATCACATAAAGGACAAATCATGTACAATTAAATAAATGCAAACAAAAGTGCATATAAAGGATTTATGCGGTACGAAAAACTTTGTTTTTAAAGGTTGTTTAATTGGGTTAGATTCTTCCAATCAACCACTTAGAACTTAAATGCCCATTACAATTTCCTGGAATTTTGAACCTCTCATTCAAATAATTTATCCATTCATCAAAGAAGTTTAAACTTAACAGTTTAAAATTTGCAGCTCTCCTAGGCATAAATACTATTTCTTACAAAATTGATATTTTGTGTTATAACGGTAATATGTATTGTGATAATTACTTTGCTTGATGTATTTAATAAAAAATGCATTGGTGAAAATAAAATTATTGTAGGATACATTCCATCCGCTATATCTCGGTTACCGGTACTTAAAATTAAAATCAGATGAGCACAATCAGGGCAAATCCTTTCCCCCAAGACTAAGAAATTCATTTGTTCCTTAATCTGTCAGAATTTAAAAGTGTGCTTCCCCATCAATTAGAAAATTAAATAGCTATTTATGGGGATTATAAAGAGAAGAGTGACAACACAGGATGACTGGCTGTTGCATTTTAAAAAATATATTAAGAATTTCTTACATTAAAATTGTCCTGGTTTAAAGAATTATTATCTAATTTTTCTTAAGCATCTGTGTCTTTAATTTATGTGCAGAAAATAAATATGTACCAAGTAATCACAACAAATTTTCATAAAAGAATATTAAAATATTTGGATATATATGTCTGGAAAAATAGTCACTGTGGTTTTTCATTTTTGTACACTACACTATTTGAAGATTTTACCCCAAACGTAAATTTTTGAGCACACATGAAATTGAGAGGCAGCTTCAATTCAGCAGCTTACATTCATATCAAAATGTTTAAGTCTTACTTTCACTATACACAATATTTTCCTTATATTTTCCTTAAGTTACCGGTACAGCAAATAAATTTTCTGACTTAAACAACTTGATTCAATTTCATGTGTGATCAAAGATCAATATTCCTTTCTACTCCTCCATGTACCATTGAAAGCATTGCAGTTGTTACTAAATTACTCCTCCTTGTCTACCCAGTTATACATTTATTATTCTGATGTGATCTGCATTATTGTCTTTTAATTGAAATAATTGATTCTTCTGGTCTTGGTTATTACTTGAACCCAACCTTGAGGGGGAGAAATGTGCAATAATTCTCAACTTTCTAAGTATATGATAACTCTTTTGAACCTGTATCCTTTTACTTTTACACGAGCCTGGCCTCGTGTTTAACATCATTAAGGTATTTCTGATGGCTAAAGATTGGCTGTCTTTGTTACTTGAATGATGAAAAGCAAACATCACAACAACAAAAATCATTTGTATCTATGACAAGAAATTATGTTTAATAGCTGAACAAGCTTTTAAAGGACTGAAGAGTATATAGGTCTAACAATAATTTACAAGCTAATGAAAATCTGAACAGAAACAATTCATAGAAAAAAAAGCTTGCTTAAAAAATCTATTCCCACCAGAAATGTTGTAACATTCAGTTACAGGACATAGGTGGGCATTGTGCCATAGGCAACATGGAATGAATTTAAAGAATTTAGTTTAAAGCACATTAAAATTGGACTTAAAATCTGTTCCTTAATTTGCCATATCATGTATTATATTAATATACCCTATAACAGAGGTTCCCAACCCTGTGCCCGCGGGCGCCATGGCGCCCGCGGAGCGATTCGTTTGTGCCCGCCTCTCACTATTCGACAGAGACAGAATTTATTTCATAAACATTATTTTAAAATATGATTTATTTTTATTCATTTGTTAGAGTTTTAATTTTTTTTTGACTGCCTAGGTTTATTAAATATGTTCGATACTTGTCCCAACTTGTCTAGCGGCGAGCCAGACTGCACTATTTACGCTAGCCTGGAACGGCTAGTGCCATTTGCACATCACACCTTGTACACGCAGAAAACCCGAAGTGAACGAATGGAACGAACGCCACGAACTGATCCGATAAACGCCGAAGGCGCCAAATCACAAGGCACATAACTGTGATTGCTTCGGCGATCATCGGCTCACTTCGGGTTTTCCGCGTGTACATGGAGTGATGCGCAAAAAGCATTCCCCGCCTGGAACCGCGTTGTTGTCATTGTGATTGCTGCCCTGTTCGGGTCGCGACAGTTAGATAAGAGACATGTTCGTCAGACGAAACACGAATTAGGAGTTTTCTATATAAAAAAAAATTAACAGGCTAAAAGCGAGGTGCGTAATTTATTGTATTCATAAGCGATGATCTATTAATAAACTATTATTATTGAGGAGATAGTTATAGTTCTTGTTATTAATATATTTATGCATATAATGCAGAACAGACTTGCGCTATAACATTGATATTATATTGTAGTTCAATTATTATTTTTTTTATTATTTATTTTAGCCCTAAAATGAGTGGACCAAGTAAAAGACAAAGAACCTATAATTTTAACACTGACTGGGAGGAATTATA